ATTAGTGGTTATGGCTGATTCAAGAGTTCGAAAGAATGCAACAGAACCAATCAATACATACTCATTCATTCGTGGAAGTTATGATTCAACATTAACTAGAACAGTGAATGATATATTAAATGATTTGAATATTAAGGTAAGAGTTGAACAGAAGAACGAAGAAATAAAGAGTATAATGAATGAAAACAAAGATGTAAACATTGACGATAAACTTGCCCAGAGCATAGTTGATGGCATCTGTGATTTTGAAGTACATAATGACGGTGGAAACATGAATTTAGAAAAAGAAGTTACATTATTCACACTGTTTCAAGCTATTAATTCGTTACCTAATCATTTAATTAATGAAGCATACGATAACGTTTATAATTTCTGCAATTTAACTGAAAATGCAAAAAGTAATTTTGAAAAAGCACGTAGTAGATATGCACATTTAATGACTTCTCCATTTGTTTTAGTGAAGATTCTAAAACTTTATCAAAAGGAATATTATGATGAATACGTTTTGCCTTTATTACGTAAGCCAAAAATAACATTTGATATCAAACTTGATGACTCGTTTTTGATAACAGATATTAGACGCAAGGCTGAAAATCATCAGTATAAAAACAGTTCTGAAGTAATTGAGGATTTATCACGTGTAATTCGTTTTGTAGATTGTGGAAACAAATATTTCATTCAGAAAGATTACAACATACACGACAAAATGAATCAAATATCATTTGTTCTTCAGTCAAACATGAAAGAGTCACTCAAAATGATTAAATTATTTAAAGAAGAAGGTAAAACCATAACAGCATGGGATGTACTACTAAATCAATTGTCTTCATTAACCGTTAAGGGTGTTTGCTTTAAATCTGATTCTCCAGATGTTTTCTCAACGTTTCAGGGTTATAAATACAACATTCTCGAAAACCAGATTACTCAAAAATTGAGATGTTTATGAATTTCATTAAAGAAGTCATTTGTGATAATAACGATGAAGTGTATAAATACCTTCTCGGCTGGATTGCATCAATGATTCAACATCCTGGAATCAAGAATGAAACAGCAATTATTTTGAAAGGACTTCAGGGAACAGGTAAAAACAGATTCACGGACATTATTTCTGAACTTCTCGCTGGTTATTCATGTAAAAACATTACTGAAATAAGTGAGCTAACGGGTAATTTCAACTCAGTGTTGAAATAAAATGTTTCTTGTACTTAATGAACTCAAGAATGTAGGTGAAGACAGACTCGCAAACTTCAACGCTTTGAAATCAATTATTACGGATAATGAGATTAGAATTAATGAAAAGAATCAACCCAGAAGAAAGCACAGAACGTTGCAAACTTCATTTTCGTAACTAACAACGTCTACCCTGTCAAAATTGAAGTTGGAGACAGAAGATACGTAGTTTTAAGGTTAATGGTAAATTCAAGGGTCAATTTGATTACTTCAAGAATTTAATGGATTCATGCACAAAGGAATTTTATGATAACCTTTTAACATATTTTATGCAATATGACCTTTCATCATTTAATGTACGAATCATACCGATGACTGAAGCCAAACAAGATTTAATCGAGTTATCAACAAATCCTTTAGATGAATGGATAAATACACATTATGATGAATTATGTGCAGGTATGACGTGTAAAAATGCTCTATTCTGCAAACCATCAGACATGAAAGACAAAAACTTTCAAATGAGCATTAAGGATAAATGTGAAAGGAAACAAAGAAAAATAGATGGTAAACAAACATGGTATTATGTTTTGAAAGAAGAAATGAAAGGATTATATAAACAAATTGAACCAAACGATAATGAGGAATCATTTACTGACGATGAAATACCTGTGAATGAAGCTTTATAAAGTATGACTGGAATTTATTTTTGCCTTCTCTGTGATGTTGTCAAAATGTCATGTTGTCTCATTTTTTCAGAGAAGTTAAATGACCTGGTGACCTGGTGACCTGGTGACCCCTTCAGTTCTTCAAAAATAATTAATTATTGAATAACCCATGATGTTGTCAAAATGTCATGTTGTCACATTTTTTCAGAGAAGTTAAATGACCTGGTGACCTGGTGACCTGGTGACCCCTTCAGTTCTTCAAAAATAATTAATTATTGAATAACCCATGATGTTGTCAAAATGTCATGTTGTCACATTTTTTCAGAGAAGTTAAATGACCTGGTGACCTGGTGACCTGGTGACCCCTTCAGTTCTTCAAAAATAATTAATTATTGAATAACCCATGATGTTGTCAAAATGTCATGTTGTCACAAACTTTAGAACGGCATAATTTAAATTTTTATTTTTATCATAAATGAATACCCCACAAGCTCAAAATTTACCACGAATCATAACAAGGGAGGAAATGATAAAAATGATGCAAGAACATGTTAAAAATAACAAACCACTAAAATTGAGAAAATGTGGTTATGCAGTAATGATGGAAAGAGAGATGTTGTCGAAGAGGAATAAAAATTAAATTTGGATAGAGTTTAAAAATTCATCTTTATTAAATTCATCTCTTCCAACCAATTTATTTATTCTATTAAATTCTTTTATTTTTGCTTCACTCAGTTTAATGATTGAACGGTAAGTTTCTAATTTTTCGATTATTTCTTTCCTCTCTTTATCGTTTTCAGTTCCATTAGTTTTATTGTTTTCAACCCCACCGCATTGCGACTTCTTTTTGTAATAGCATATTTTTGATTTAATTCTGTTTAGTTTCTTTTTATATTCATTGTCTGGACTCTTGACTGCTTTGTTGTCACTCATTTCTTACGAAATAGAAAAATTAAATATTATTTAAATATAATGGAGTAATAAAATAAATCGGAATTTCTATTAATTTCTTGTCAACTTCAACTAATGCATTGCCGTTAATATATCTAACAAATTCAGCTATTGTGTCAAATCTTCGTCTTCTTTTTGTCATTGATTTATCAGTTTTTCCATAATCGAGATGAATTAAAACTTTATTTCCTTGTTTAAAATTCATGAGCCCCGAATTAATTTGTTCACGTTTAACATCATTTAACTTTTCCATTTGCTTTCTAATATATTCCCATTCTTTTGAAATATCATTTTTCATTTCCACCGGTTTCATGTTTATAGTTCTATGCCATGTATTATTGTAATAATATACTAACTGCTGTATGATGGAGTCATGATTTCCATCCCAGTATATCTGACCGTTAACCCCTAACGCATCTCTAAGAGTTCTCATTACCGCATCAACTATTTTATTATGAAACGTATATGGAGAGGATGAAAAGTAAAAATTAATTTGTGGGAAATAATGAGCCATAGCTGCCTGAAATCCTTTATCACCATCACCCCTGATATTATCTACTCTTTCATGATCTAGTAAGTATTGAATAGCTCTTCTTGTTTCCTGTTCTGTTTTCCCTTTCACCGGAATGCAATATAAATATCTAGTGTTAATGTTAATGGCAAATAAATAAGTAACGTTTCCTTTTGAATATTCCAGATGATCGATTTCGTATGAATATGGATATGGAGCAAATGAAGGTCGACTAAATTTTTCCTTTAATGGTTGAATTTTCGGGTCAATTGGTTTATTTAATATCTTGAAATCCTTTTTAAAATCTTTTTGCTTCTTAAATGTTTGAAATGGATATAATAAAGTGAATGATGAAGGATTAACTGAAGGAGGAGGAGGTACTACTGTTGGAGGTTTTGGTGTTGTAAGTGGTTTAATTTTATCTGCTTTGATTTTGGAATTCAATCCTCCCTTCATTAATTCTGGATGTATTTTATTCATTTGTTTTAAATATGCTGTATATAAAGGTTTGATATACTTTCCCGCTTCGAGTTTATGTTGAAGGATGAATTCCAAAAGTTGATCTTCATTTAAAAGTCGGGCTGAATATGGTTTAACTAATGAATCATAAATTAAAGCTTGTGCATCATTTATGGTCTGAAGGACCTGGGTGTTTTGTTCCTTTTGTTTTTGTTCCTTTGGCTTTTGCGGCTCGGGATTATATAATTTATATAATTCATCAATATCTTCTTCTGTTAATACTTTATTTTTGAAATCTTTCAACTGTTTAAGCTGTGATTTAGTTTTTCCCTTTTATATTCATTATTTTTAATTTTGTCTTTAATTTCAGAAATTATTTTATTATGATATTTCAAAATTTCATTTTTATAATATGGATAATAATATTCCATATCATCACCCATTATATTATTATTATATTTTTGGAGATATGCTTTTAAATCATAATAATTAAGAAAATTTTGATTAAATACTAAATCATCAATTAAAATTTTTAAATCTGTGTTATTCATTTATATAAAAATAAAATCAATGTTTTAAGGGTGCCCACCTCTTTGAATCATAGTATCAAAACCATCATTAACGGTTCCTTTTGTCTCTTCTGTGGTATTTTATTAAATAAATGGCATACAACATCCATTTTCACAACATACAGCCTTAGTGTGTGCTCCTGTTAATGCAGTCTTACCGATTGTTAAGCGAGTCATTGACCGTTTTAAGTTGTAATTAATATTCTGACCATCAAATATCAATTTATCATTTATTATATCCAAATAATTTTTAGGTGTTAATTGTTTATTTTGTCGTAAACTAACACCTTTCATTTTTTGTGCAATCTTTTTAAAATCACTTCCATCAATTGAACCATTGAATGATGTATAACACTTAGGACATAAAGCAACCATGTTATCACCTTGTTTCTCAATTGCTAAACCCAATAACTTCTTCTCATGTGCTTTTTCTTCAGCTTTATTCTTTAATTTAGGTTTAAATTTCTCATCAAAACAGAAGAAATCAAAAGGTGCGAATTTGAAAATGTTTTTATCATAAAATTGTTTATCGGTAACAATTGCTTGAAATGCTTGAGTGTTAGGAAGATTTGGGTCGCCAGCGATTGCCCAATAAGATGAATCAGTATCACCTTCAATGAAATGAAAACGATTAACATCCATGCATTTATACATAAAATCATAAATGAAAACCAAATACCAGTATTTAGCATTATCTAAAGTGAAGAATGCCTCTTGTAAACATGTATCACATCTATAAAATCTATCTTTGAGCATCACTTGATATGTATCTTCACCTATTTCTCTTATGTTTTTAAACTTATTTGACATACATGCAACGCGTGCCTTCTGTGCATTCATTATTTTAGTCTTTGCGTAATTTTGTGTATTCATTGCATCGTAACCATATGATCCATTAAGTGAAATCTTGCAAAATAAACTTTTTCCTTTATTTCCTTCTAATTCAGCCTTTTGTCTTTCGTTCATAAATTTGTTCGCAAATTCATTAAAACAAGTGTTTTTAGTAAATGTTAAAATTGATTGAATGTCATCAATGATAAAATGAAATCTGTCTATTAGATACCAAAGATAATAAGAAGAAAATGGTTGATATTGGTTGTGTGTTGATGCTAACTGAGTTAATTTTCTCTGTTTCTGGTCAACTGGTAGATTGTTTGATTTCATGTAATTATACATAAAACTGCCAATTGTTTTTTCATCTGTGATAATATCTAAGTTTCTTATTATCGGTAAAAAGTTTATGTAATCATTAATGTATTTTTCATCAATGTGACCCTTTACTTCAGCCACGAATAAAGTATTTTTCTTCTTAATTATTCCCAGTGCTTTTGCTTTCTTTGTTGCTGTATCACAAATGATAACACCATTCAATCTTCCCGGCATATACATTTTATGGTCAGTATATTGAATGAAATCATGAGGATTAGATGAAAATGATGAAGGATATAATGAATTAAAGTCAACTCCAACGAAATGAGTCATAATGTTGGTGGTGTCCTCATTTGATACAGTTTTAGTTTCTGGATTATATGAAAGTTTATTAATGTGCGTGATTCCTTTAAGATTAACACGATGTTGAACATTTGATAGACCACCAGTAATTCCATTACGGAGAATGTGATAAGCTTCAACTGAATCTAAAGTCATTGGTAAATTATTTTTTAATGCATAATTTCTTAAATTGATTCTTAAACGTTGAACATCTTCATCTTTATTTGATTTTACGACATTGCAATAACAACACATTAACTGACAATTTTCTTTGGTATGTGGTTTTTCATTATCTATTCTATCCAATGTTGGTTTATTTGCATATGTAAACGCTTTACCACACATTTTGCATTTAGATGAAAGGATTAAATCGTGATAGTATTGATAGTCATCCATTGAAACATTGTTTTTAGTATCCCTTTCCGCTTTTTCATCTTGTTTCTTATATGATTCAATTTTATATTTCCAATACTTTTTTGTTAATTCAAAACTTGATTCCACATTTTCTTCTTCTGGATATGTTTCGTTAGGATTGAAGTTCTTATATGCTAACGCGTAACGAATCATTGATGCATTCGATGATAAAGAAAGATTATGAAGCATGTCAATTTTATAAACAAATGTTTCTTCGATAATTTTATCAATTGGGTCAATCATAATTTCAACATCTTTATTGCAATAATGAATAAAATATTCTAATCTATTCTTAAAATTTTTAGCATCATTGAGATATATTTGATAATCACTATCTGATATAGTTTCTTGAGTTAATGCTGAATAAAATGAATCTTGAGTGAATGGTTCCACTTTATATAATTCTTCTTCGTAATTTTCCCACGTGATGAATTGATAAGGGAAAAAGGATTTAACACGTGTTTTATTGTTTCCGAAATCTTGAGTGAATTGATCTAATGTCCCACCCGCTATATAATTTCTGATGTCAATAAATCTCAATTCATATGGAACGTTTGTTTTCTTTACAATGATTTGCTTAAATTGTGAAGATGAACCCAGCATTGATTTTATTTTCCATTTTGCAGTGTTTAAATCACGAAGAATTAAATTTAAATCAAACTTTCCCGAATTAAAACCTATGATATTCACTTTATTGAATTCCTCATCTAGAAGTTCTTTAAATGCTTCCTTCTGTTTTTCATTTAATGTTTGCGACTTCATTAATTCTTCATATTGTTCAATATTTGATTTAGCAACTAATGAACAGGTTGAAAATAAAAACTTAATCCAATCAGAAATAAAAGAATCACTCGAAGTTAAGCAAAAATTCCTCGTATATGTTTTATCGTTTAATTTAACCGTTGATGATACCATGAATGGTTTTAAGTAAGCATTCAAAGTTGCACACTCAGAAAGTTGTAATTCTTCTTTAGTCTCTAATGTTTCGAAGTCAAAAGTAATATAATATCTTGTCGGTTGATAATATTCCTGCAAATTGTGAGCTAATAACCACTGATATATCTTCTGTTTCGTAATATGTGGTGCATATGGTTGTTGTGTGTTTTGCAATTGAACGTCTTGAATTAATCTTCCATTATTTTCTTTACATTTCTCACAATGTTTTAAAAATCTTCTTTGGTTTTTCCTTTCTGGATCATCACGGATAGAATATACTTCTTCTTTGCAAAAGGGGCAAACTTTATATCCTGTGAGTGCTTCAACGTCTGTTATTCTAGCGTGAAGTTTTCCACATGGACTCTGTGTTAATAAAATATTTACTGTTTTAAATTCTGGATCTATCATTATTGAATCCACTAATGGAAAGTCTACCTTGTTAATGTCTACGTCTTCTGGTTGAGGGTCACAATAATAAAAATCAATATTAACGTTTAACATTCTTGCTAACCTCTCACTTTCTGATGAAATGTCAAATCCTTCATATGCATCTATGGCTTCATTTAAATAACTTCTACGAGTTTTAGGATTAACACCATCAGGAATGTTATAGAAGCGTTTAAATAACCTTCTACCTTCGGCTCTTATTTGATTATCATTCATTTTAGCTGTTCCATTTTTGTTCATTTATGTAAGAATAAAAATTAAAAAATAAATAAAAATAAAGTTTATTTTTTTTAAAGTCCGAGACTCAGAGAGTCCAGGGCTAAAGTCCATAAAATGAATTAAGAACACATAAATTTTTATCATCTGCGACGTGACGAATGCATTTTAATTTACTCAAGAATGCATACCCTGATACATTAAATCTAATTCCTGTCTTATTTAATTTCACAACTTTGAAAAGGAATGTATGAATAGCTATAAAATGATGAGAAGATGTTTTATGGGTTGCTTCCATTTTTTCTGAAATAAATGAATAAATATAATGTTTATAAGTTTTCATATCTTTTATGTTCTTAATAACGAATGGTATAGACCTTTCAACTTCGTCTTCCTTCGGTGCTGTTCTTTCATATGAAACATTATTGGTATCTTCAATAATGAAACCACAATCGCATAAAATTTTATATGTACCAATTGTTTCTTTTGATATTTTATCGAACAAATCAAAAACTTGATCAACACCTGTACATTTATTTAAATAATAATTTGTGTAAATATCATGGTCTTCTTTCTTAATCGTATTTGTTGCATATGTTACATTTTTCAGTGCTTTTTTGAATTTTTCAGAATCAAGAGGAGGTGAAAGTAATATACATGGATAATCTCCATCGTCAATAAACTGAAGCTTATGTTTATGAATAAATTTTGTGCCTTCTTCTGAAAGTGTTTCGTCAATATCACCATCTAATAAATTTTTAGTAGATTCCAAAAAGTAATTTTTATATCTTTCCTCATGTGATTTTTGAACTTCTGATTCTGAAGCTGGGATATTCATTAAACCCTCTACTTCATTCTCAGCATTTCTCAATTCACTAATTCTTTCATCTATTTCATTTCTTAATTGTTCCAATTTCTCAATCTCATCGTTATAATATTCATCTTGTTTAATTTTTTCTTCAAAATATTCAGGAGGTGTTTCAAGGCTCGCTGAGCCCAGGTCCTCCGGACCATAAAGAGGAATATTCTCCTGTTTTTCAACTTTTTTGGGATATAAATATCTCATTATAGCCTTTTTAGTAATTGGTCCGTTATATTTAAATTCATTCAACAATCTGGAAAACTCTTTCACATTCTGCATATATGTTGGATAAGAACCGTCTCCAAAATTTTCTAAAATATTTTCTAATTCTGAATTAGTGAACTTTAAAGATTTCAATGAATTAGTTGTTATACTCATTTTCTTACGAATTAAAAAAATAAAAAAATAAATTTAACTTAGTTTTAATTTTACGTAAGAAGTTAATTTTTTAAATCTTGATTTATTCAAAAACGTAAGAATAAAAAACCGTAAGAATCATACATTTTTTACTTCATATGTTAAAAAAAATGATACAAAATCGTTCAATATTGTATGAATTCTTACGTTTACAAAAAAAGTCACACAACCCGCTTCATATACTACTACTACATGCATGTATCAGACCATTATATTATGCATCAACAGCTTGTTATATCCAAGAAAATAACAATTTTTAACATTTTTTTATATTTACAAATTTTTATTTACAAATACAAAATAAATAATACAAATAACATGAATACAAAAAGCCATAATTGCTTAATTAAGGTTGACACCTCTCCAATTAAATGGAAGCCATGAGTTTTCATCAGCATCGTCTGATTGTTGCAACAAATTTTCGCTGTTAGGAAGTTCGTAGAAGCCAATATAGCCAACAACATGTGTACCATTAATACTGCCAGCATGTTGTCCTTCTGGGTAGTCTGTTGTTGTTGTATTTATTGTTGCAGAAGAAAGAATGTATTGGGGAGCTTCTTTGTATCCGACTACTTTGTAAAAGATTGAAAGTGATAAACCGAGGAATTTTGTCTGTTCAATATTTGAATTATCGACAACTATGTTAATTGTATCAGAAACATTAGGTGCTATACGCAATGAAGTAGTTTGTGCGCTAGAAAGCATTGCTATGGATGAGTTTGGAAGAGTTCCGTTTGTTATATCAAATTCAAAGTTAAGATTCATACCAAATTCAACTCCAATATTAAAATTATCAGATGTAGAGTTAAATTGGAAATTGGTACCATCAGATAACAACACATTCTGGCCAAAAAGATATCCTCTATTTGTTTTATTTGCTCCTGTGACAGTAAGTGCATCGCTTTCTGTTAAATAATTATAAGAGGTTGACGAACTTGTTATTAAACTTGCTATTGTATTATTGAGGGCATCATTTTCATAATCTGCATTTGGAACTTCATAAGTTATACCTCGAGACGTAAGTGGATTGTTTTCTCTATATACGCAGAAGATAACACGTGATAACCAATCTGAAACAGTACCGACTTGATCCTTTGAAACTGATGAACACATTGTTACTAAATCAGCTGTAGGAGCTGGATAGCATTTTGTATAGTTTTCATTATAGAAATATGAGCATTTTGGAGCACAGCAACAATCAGGAATACACGTATAATTGTTAACCATACAAGGGCAATCGGAAACATTACCTTTTTGAAGCGTAGAATAGTTAGAGCTCGAATTATAGGATGTATATGAGTCTGTTGAAGCATAGGAAATATAAGATCTGATGCGTCTAAAACCAAGTAAATAAAGAATCATTTTGTGATGCCGTTTATAAACCCGATTTTGTCACTTTTATCAGCTTATATCGGCGCGCAGCGAAGCTGTATAATCGTCAAAGATTTGAAAATATTCTTTAGTTTGAAATCATACTTCATTGATAGCTGCTTATAATAACATACTTATACATCAATTAAATATATAAAAATCTCATAATTAACTTCGAAATGCTGGACAGTAGTAGGATATGACGGGTTTAGTGACTTTTTTTGTTACATCTATATATAGACGATGCATTAAAATATATTTATTTATAAATCATTAAAAAATTAACATTAATTTTAAAATAATTTATTTTTTTATCTTTTATAAAAGAAGCTATATATAGATGATGTCAGATATTCCGCGATTAATTAAACATTGTTTAAATCCTGAATGGGTTAAACTTCAATTTAAAAATGAAGATTGTGAATTATTAAATGAATATGAAAGCCAAAATAAGCTAATGAGGTATAAATATAATGATAAAGAATATTTAATTTCATGGAATCAATGGAGTCATAATCAAAGACCTCATAAACGAGAAGAAGAAATTGAAAATAATGAAATGGAAATCATTGATGACATTAAAGAGGATGGAATTCCTAAATTTTGTAGAAAAACCTTTAGAACTAAGTTAGGAGCATATAAACGTAGAGTATTAAATCCTGAATATCTTAAACATCAATTTAAAAAGGAAGACTGTGAATTATTAAACGCTAATGAATATGAAAATGCTAAATCAAAACTGAGATATAAATATATTGGAAGTGATGAAAGGTGTAAAGATAAAGATAAACTTTAAAAATTCATGTCTTACATTTTTGAATAATTTATTTTTTTAATTCGTAAGAAATGAGTGAATCAAAATTCGTGACTGTGAATCAATTAATGGATAAACTTTCACCAATTCTCACCCAGGTTAAACAAGTAGACGTTTATTTTGATGATTGCATACAAAGTTTATTTTATAAAGGTAAGTTTAATATTAAACCTATTGCTTTTGCATTTGATGGTAAATTAATCGAAAATTCAAAAATTTGGGAATTAATTCCGGATATTGAATTTATAACAAATATTAAGGATAAATGGTTTAAACAACAAAACCACCTCACTAAAGTTCTTTGTAGATTAATGATTAAAATTGAGGAAAAAGAATTTAACGGGTTTAAATATCATCCGTGTAAAATTTTAGAACTTGGTAACGAAAAACTTCAGAAAAAATTAAACGATAGACTATCAAAAGATAAAGTTGAAAGAGTAAATAAACTCGCTAAAGGTAATGGTAATGATGAAGATGAATTTGATGAGTTCAACATTGAACTTTAAGAAACTAATGATTATTTGAATTTATGAAATCAATTATTTGATTCATTCTTTCTTCAATCTCTTCTATTCTTTTTGTTAAATCATCAATTTTCATTAATGAGGTGATTCTTGATTGAGGAATAGATTTCAAACTAACCACTCCTTTTATTTTTGAAATTTTGAATCCATCAACTTTAAACATTTTATTCAATTTACACGTTGTCAATTCTTCAAATAATTTTTTATTATTAGCATAATAGTCATTAAATTCTTCAACAGATGAAAAAATTTTTATTTCAGTAATTGGTTTAACAACGTTTATTTTTTGTTGAACATCTTCACTTTCATTTATTTCTTCCTCCTCTGTTTCATTTATTTTTAAAATCGGTTTCATTTATCATTAAATAAAAATTAGAATATAAGTGATGAAATATATTTTTTTAATTAATATTAAATCAGAAATGGCGGCAGGATTCTTTAAAAAATTATGGGATGGAATTAAGAAAGCTGCGGGTTGGGTTCATAAAAAGATTATTAAACCCATTGCAAACTTTTTGGCACCAGTAGCGAAAACGGCAGGAACTATCATAGGTGGGGTATTAGGTACTAAAGCAGGTAATCCGGCGATGGGCACAAGCAGGTAACGCAATTGGTGGAATAGCTGAAGGAATACTTAATAAAATAGGAGGTAGATAGTGGAAAAATAAATATGAGATCCTATGGATCATCTCGCCACTTAGCGGCTTAAAATTATTTTTATCTTAGTATCGGTTGTAGTCTTTGATAAACTTTTTCTCCTTTATTTAAAACTTCTCTTATTGGGGCAGCTTTTGGTGTTATTGATTCAGCAACGTCACTAATTGCTTCTTTATTCTTAAATATCCAATTTGCCCCCTTCTTCAATGTTTCCCAAACTTTACTCGCTCCTCTTTTTACTTTATTCCACAGTTTCTTAAATATACCTGCAGCCATAGTTGATTATTTCATTAAAATTAAAAATTCATTTTCATCTTTTAATTTTGATTTTTATTTATTAATAAATGACGACTAACTATTTGGTGCCAAACTAAACCGATTAATGGAAATGTATTTCATTCATTCGAAAAAGATAAATGAAATATTCGCAAAGAATGACGGTAGAAGATATTATAGAGAACTTGAAAGTTCATGCTATGACTCTGATGCTCCATATTTTGATGATAAACAAACTCATTTAAGAATTACAAACCCTGCTCATGATGTGAACCAATTAGGTGACACATATATTAAACGCAAAGTTAAAGCAACTCTAGTTTCAAATAAAGCTTTCACATGTGATGCCGCTTTTAAATGCATGCGTTTATTCGTTGTGGTTACAAATCATCAAATCAAAGCTTTAAACAATTAGAAGTAGAAACCGAAAGAGGTGATGCCGGTTATCTTCAGATGGATTGCGCCCGTGAATCTTTCGCATTTGCAACATATAAACCAAAATCAGAAAGGAAAGTTAAAAAGTTTGTTCATTCGTTATATAATAATGTTCAAAAATATGATAACTCAGTATGTGGTAAATATATTGACCCTTCAGAAGTTTTCAAGAAAGCAAATGAAGAAGTTGATGTCACTTTTGATATGATTTTCCGGTAAATGATTTGTTAGCATTTCAGGCGTTCGATGATTATCCTAAATCATTTGGTGATATCATTCTTAAATATTATGTTTTGAGGGATACTTTAGTATTTTGTCAGGTTGACCCGTTAAGAGTTGCTGATTTACAAAATTACGTTTATGAAAAGATAACTGATGAAAATTATGAAAAGATTATGAATCATGTTTATAAATATGATCGCAAATTCCAACAAATCGGACTTCCTGCCAAATTAATTACAAGCTTAGCCGCTACATCTGCTGACGCAACAGTTGATGACGTTATTATTTCATGCACAAAGATGGAAGTTTTAGAGGATAAATGCATTACACCAGGATACGGTTTAATTGAAGAATCAGTTAAAGCAATACCACGTTTATTCAGTAAGGAAGATCCATTCATGATTCCAGCTCAACATATTGACGTTCGTTCACTAAATGGAGGTTGCATCACTCCTGAAGGTATTAGCTCAGATTTTCTCATACGCTCTTCATAATGTTACAGATGTTGTGTTAGCATTTCCGAAGAATGCAATGCAAAGAACGGTTTTAGAAAATCCAATGCTTCGAGGTCTTCAGGTCACTATAGATTCCAGAAACTTCCCCGATCAAGCGATGACCACAGTGGGGACATATTCTTTACACGTATGCTTCAAGCTTCTGATTTAGATGGAGTGAATGAATGCACAGAAGAATACGAGGACTCATTAACTAGACCACTGAATGCAGATGATGGCACGCCATTAGCTAGAACATGGAAAGACCAAACTTCATTCTTATGCACTATTCCAGTTCAACATGATGGAGCGGGTATATTCTTTGATGGATTAGAAACTTTCAACTCACAGTTACAGTACAAGTGAAAGCTTATCCAATCATTCAGGGTGAAAATGACACTTACTGTTCAAAGGTGACAAATCCTCCTCAGGTTTGGTTTACTAGGACTACATATTGGACATGGACACCGGATGAAGGTTTTGAAATATCATCCAACAGGTACACCCACAGTATAGAAGTTCATATGATGAAATATTGATGAATAGAAATGTTTAAAATTATAAATTTATTTTTGATTAATGGATTTAAATTCATACACTCCTTATGAAGAATTAGCAGGAGTATATAATACATACGTAGATGATATGATTAATGAAGCATTGAGTGATAATAGAAATGCTCTATCTAAGGAAAAATTAATGAAAATTCCATATTCTGAATGTTACTTAAATTCAATCACTGCAGCAATTGGTAAACAGAATAAAGGTAAAACATTAACGATATTAAAACAAATTATCATTATTGCTAACACTTCCCCCTATTCACATGTGTTAATTTATATCAACCGTTCAGGTTCACCTTCAGATGATACATTTGAATCTTTAAAGCATTTAATCAAAATTCCAATTATTTATTTATCACAAGAAGAAGCAGAAGATTATTTAAAAAACTTTTTAATGTATAAAGAATTATATAATACAATCAAGAAGCAAGGATTAGAGGATAAAATTATTGATAAACAACGGGATGAATTATTTGAAACACTTTCTATTTCAAATTTTGATAGAGAATTTTTGCATTCACTCATTTTTCTAGATGATGCAGTGAAATCAAAACTAATAACAAATGAGAAATCATATTTTAATCAGTTATTAACTCAATGTCGACACATTCAGTGTTCATTCTTTATGGCTGTTCAATACTTCAAAGCATTAAGCACAAACATTAAATCAAATCTAACAACCCTTTTCATTTTCAGTGGGTTTAGTCGTCAACAGTTGAACGTTATGCTTTATCAAGTGAATTTACCAATGAGCATTAATGAACTTTACACACAATATCAGCAATTAGGTGAACATGGAAAAATAATAGTTGATTTAAATAAAGGAAGTGTTAAATTTGATTAACTTTTTATAATTAATTTTTATTTTTTATTTATAATTAAACATGACAGAAATAGCAAATCTTCTACAGGTTCCATTAAAACAAGGAACAAACAAAAAGGGTACATATAATAGAACTATGAAAGTTCCTGATGGAATGAAAGAATTAGTTCATATTGTTGCTGGTCTTCAAAAAGATGTTAAACAAATGAGAAACGTTTTAACATTACCAGAAGCTCAAGCATATGCCAAACGTCAAGGTCCAAATTGGGAAGCACACGAAGCAGACATTACGGGTCCAAATGGAAAACCTGATGGTATAAATGAAGTTTTCGTTACTGATGGTCAAGGTAATATTAAAGTCATAAATGGGTATAAATTAACAATGACGGATTATCCTAAACGTAAAGCATATAATGAACGTTATCCTATGCAATTTGATGAAAATGGAAAAGCTGTTAAACAATACATTGGAGAAGGTGAAAATGGTCCAATTAATTCATACCGTTATAATACATATTCTTATTTCAATGAAGAATTATATGCTATTGAAGAGGGACCGGATGGATTACCACGATATTCTAACCAGTTTGATGGTCAATATGCAAATATTAGACCTGAAATTTCAGCTAAGAAATTCTTTAAAGTTGCTTTATTCGATCCAGTTTTCGCAAATGTTAAAGATGAACTTAAACATCAATTCCAACCAATTATAGTAGCAAGAATTGCATCAGGTGCTTTATCTCAAGCATTCAAAGATTTAATTAAGAAACCATTATATCAGCAACGAGGTTTAACTTATGATTTAGTTAAGGAATCAGATAAAAGAAAATTTGAGAAATCAGATGATTATAAGAATGCAATTAATGAATATATTAGGTCTTTTAATTACAATGAACCAGCTAAAAATCAACTTCAAGAACAAATACAGGGAATAATAGATTCAAAACTTCCAGCAAAATAAAAGTTTAAATATATTTTTTTATTCGAATATAAATGAGAAGACGTTTCACTAGTCAAAAGAACACTAACGCAAAAGCAGAGATTACGGTTGGTTATAACGTAAATGATGATAAATCACGAATTATTCAAAATGTTAAAGTTAATGTTAGCCCTGAATTAACAAGGTCAGCAACTCAACCAAATTTATTAACTCGTGACTTACCGAAAAAGTAGGAGGAGCAAAATAAAGAAGATGGAGACCCAATCATTTTATCTGAACCCAGTAAAGAACCTGTTGAAATTCCCACTTATCCAACATACCCCCCGCCTCTTTCATCAAACATCGAGAACCCATATAAAATAGACATTAATTCTGAATTAATGAAAATTTACCGTGATATAATAATTAATAATTATGATTCAATAATAAATTTAATTGATCAATCCGGTTTAATTATTTTACCTTATGAATCATTAATTCACATTATCGCCATTCTTTGTGATGTTCAAGATTCGGACGTTAAGATTCAATTTTTCATAGATGATGAGGTTTCATGCTGCGGAACAGTTGCAAAAATAAATCCTATAAAGGATATTAGCACAATTAAGATATCAAAGAACGGAACAACAACTGAACTACATTTAACTTATAATGATATTTATAATAAAATAGTTGATGAATATAAAATATCACTTGAAAAATTCTTTGTTAAGGCTATTTAATATTCAAGCATTAACATTATCGAATAATAATCCTTTAAATCATAATCAATAATAATTGACTTTTCACCAGTTTCTATCGTTTGTTTTATTTCTTTTTGTTCCCCACTATCCGGATCGGTCATTGTAATTGTTTTTGTTATAGTATCAGCTTTATCTTTAACTTCAATCTTTTTTCCATCGGGATATTTAAACCAAAATTCCAAAAATTCGATATTGTCAATCTGTTCATATTTTAATCTATCAATTACATTTTTAATATAGGGTGTCCAAAGGTGCGTTTAGCACAGCGCGCTATATGAGACTATTAAAGGAGATATATGCTGATTATAAATATATAATAAAAAATATGAATATATGTATATGATGAGTATGTTGTATTTTGGCGCCATGCCGGGATATAAAATGAATTTTGAGACAAGAGGCGGTTTCGCGGGAAATTTTGGCGGGATTTTTTTCATTTTTGTAATGAATCATAAAGAAAACATCCTCGCTCTTGCAAAAAAATGCAAAGACTGTAAAAAATCTACGAGACATTGGTAAAATGCTTCGGTATGGATGCTCCTAGCTATTCCACTGTAACGTATCATGTTAGGATGTATCACTTCATGAATAAAAAGGCGCCCATCATAAAAATTGACAAAAAATCGCCGGATCAAAGAAAAATCAAAGCAATTCTTCAAGCGCTAGATGAAGACCCAAGAGCATCACTCAGAAGGATAGAGGAGATGACAAAGATACCACGTATAACAGTCAGTTATTATCTGCACAATTATTTGAACTACAAACTAGCATATACACGTTGGGTTCCGCACAACCTTAATTCAGTTCAAAAAAAATCTAGAGTCCAATCTTCGAAAGAGCTCCTCTCTATATTGGGTGCGTATCAATCCAAGAAGTTTTGCTTTTTAGTAGCAGGAGACGAGTCTTGGTTTCAATATGCAACAGAAGCCAAAATCATGTGGATCCCAAAGGATGAAAATCCGCAAACATTCCCGAAGAAAAAAATTGACACACCAATGATGATGTTGTCGGTTTTTTGGGATGTGAATGGCATCATCGCAATTGATATTCTTCAAAAACCTAATACGATGAATGCTCAGTATCTAATTGACAATGTTCTTACTCAAATTATCAATTCTGATGAGTTTGAGAAATCCAAACAACAAAAAACAAAAGTTTGCAATTCATTTAGATAATTCAAGAGTTCACAAAAGTCATAAGGTAATGAATTACTTGGTGGAAAACAATGTCAAAGTTGTTCCAAACTCAATTTATTCACCTGATATTGCACCCTCTGACTTTTATTTATTCGGCACGCTAAAAAAGAGAGCTGAAGGACGCGAATTCGCGAGTCCAGATGATCTTGAAAATTTTGTAAGAGAGCAATTTGAGCAATTTTCTCATGATGATTTAAAGCGTGTCTTTCAAGCCTGGATCGATCGCTGCGAACGCGTGATTGAATCCAATGGTGATTATATTTAAATAAACTTTATATATATGTAACTTGTTTATTTCTATTCGCAGTATTCAGGTTTGTGCTAAACACACCTTTGGACACCCTATACCATCTGAAAATCTTATGAAATGGTCATTATATGGGTTTGATTGAACTAAATTTGAATGAAGTGAAATATAACCTGTTGATGAATATGACACTGACTCATATTTTCTGAAAACACTAAAATTTATAACATGAATGAATTTCTTATTCGTTGAATGTATGAATTCTTGAGGTAATCTTATTCTAGTTTTATTTATCACTGGAAAATAACGCTTTACCATATTTTTAATCGTAATAAAAAATGTCAATTATCAATATTATTTCGAATAATAACTGTGAATTAAATTTAACAGTTAGCGGAATTTATAATGTTACTCTCGTTTCTGTGAGTGGTAAATTTAATCCCATTCTTTTAGACCCTTCAGATTATATATCATTTATTAAAGATGACCTTGAAAAAACGTATGATATGTATATAAATAATGTGATAGTGAAATGGGATATTAACACGATTTTAAGTTATTTAAATGAATCATTTATCGTATGGTATGAAGAAAATTTTAAATCAAAACCTGATAAACTTTTTGAACTTGATGAAATAAATAACCTTATTAAATTTCCGCTGAAAATTAAATTTTGTACTCCTCATCTTCGTTCATTGTTGGGGATATTAAATTTTGAAAAAGATGTTGGGGATGTTTTGTATTCTGACACTGGTTCCAATTTCATTTTAATCAAATGTGATAAAGTTAATACCCCAATGAGATTTTCACATCAAACATTAGACCCTAACTCTTACCCATCAATACAAAACATTTTATCCATCAACTTAAACACATTTTCTTTATCATATCCGTTTCAATTATCCGGGAATTCATTTATTCTTCATTCAAAAGATTTATCAAATATTAAATTTAGAATAACTGACCTATTTGATTGTGATTTAGAATTTATGAATGAAATATTATGGCAATTTCAAATAGAGAAAATAGCTGATGAGATAACGGATTAAATATTTATTTTTAAATCGTAATAAATGATTAAACAACAGCAACTTAAGGCGCAAAGCGCCCAGGTCCTTCAGACCATTACATACGCCACATATGCATATAATTCAAAGACGGCAGAACAAACGCAAAGGTTGAAATATGGAGATTTGGAGATAGTATTGAAAAATGACCATTTCGAATTCGTTTGCAAAGGTGGTGCAGTGATATCAAATATAAAAGAAATTTTATTTATGAATTCAAAAATTAAAGGAATAACGGATGATATAACATCAATTCCACCAGAAGAACAGAGATATTACGCATTAAATGCATTTCCTAAAGTTTTGAAGATTGGAAGATTTAATTTAAATGAGGAATTCATAGAAGGTTTCCTAAATGACATAATGAAGAAGGTGGATAAGGAATATGTGGATAGTGAGTTAATGAAGAAAGCAGATAAGGAATACGTTAATACTGAATTAAATAAGAAGGCAAATTTGGTTTATGTTGATGAAAAAGATAATGAAATTAAAGAAAAGGTTGAATGGTATCATGAATGGACATTGGAGACTTTTAAAGTTAAAGCTGATACAGAATGGGTTTCAGGATGTTTAGACCTTAAAGCAGATAAAACTTATGTTAACGATGAGTTAGAGAAGAAAGCAGATAAAACATATGTTAACGATGAGTTAGAGAAGAAAGCAGATAAGGAAAAAGTTATTTCATTCATTAATACTGAGTTAGCAAAGAAAGCTGATATATCATTTTTTAATGAAGAAATAAAACAATCAGAGGTCTATTTTACTCCACCATTTTTAAATTTTATGAAATCATCAGATAAAACCTTTGATATAGATTCTTTTGAATGGATATGTTATGATGGAGTGACCATGTATTTATTTTATACAGCTGGAGTGCTTTATTATTTTAAAACAAATGATTTTAAAAACTATGAATCATTTATTCCATCTGTTTGGAATCCTGATACACGAAAGCCAATCATTAATCCAAGAATTTTATATGTTGAATATAATAACGGTAAATTTATGGGAATGATAACGGTTGGAGATGATTTTTGCCCTTGTTATTCATTCGATTGTATCCAATGGTTTAAATGTAATTTAAATCAAGATGCTAAATTTAAATATCCAAATAATCCTATTAGATGCGTTAATAATAAATGGGTACTAATTTATGAAGTCAATCAAATTTTCATTAGTGAGGATGGGATAAATTATTATATGTTTAGTATGATGTCATCAGATTTGGAAATTAATTATACAAGTAAGTGGTATTACATTAACAACATGTATTTTATCCTACAAAATGATAAAATTTATAGATCATATTCAATACCATTTGGTCGTTTTGAACAAATTTTTCAAGCTGATGGAGACATTGAAGCTTTATGTTATGCTTCAAATGTTTGTGTTCTTGTTTCAGGTGGTATGGTCTATTCATATCCTGTAAGTTATAACAGACATATTTATTTATCACAAGATTTTTCACAGGATCCAGAGAAAACACCAAGTTGGGAATTGGTTTATTCATTCACTCCAAAACTTACTCGAAATTATAGATTTACAAATTTATTTTATATTGATGGGTATTTCATTGCTTTAGGATGTGGTGATTTAGTAAATATCAGTAATGATGGAAGAAATTGGTCTGAAATCACAAAATTTCAAGATGTTAGAAAAGCAATTTTCAAAAATAATACGTTAATATTGATAACAAGACCAGTTTTAATTTCTTACCCAGTTTCAATATTATATAATAAATTCAATATTCATAATGGATTAAATACAATTCTTGAGATGATTTACCCCATTGGTTCAATATATACATCAATGAATTCAACAAATCCAGCTGATGTATTCGGTTTCGGTACATGGCAGCAGATTGTAGATAAATTCTTATACTGTGCTAACTCTTCAAAGCAAACAGGAGGCTCAAAGAAAATTAAAGAAGCAAACTTACCTGCGCACACTCATACAGGAACGACAAACTTTTCTGGCGACCATAGCCACTCATTAAGAGACCACCCATTATACAACTCAGACTATAAAGCTGGCAATGATGTTTTATCTCCATCTTATAACAATTCAGCAAAAAAGACTTTTCGACCAACTGAACCAGGAGGAAATCATGTCCATACTTTCACAACAAATCCAACAGGCTCGGGTGAAGATTACATGCCACCTTATATGACAGTTTATGCATGGTTTCGCGTTCAATGAACGCTCAATGTTTGTTTCACAAACTTTAGAACGGCATAATTTAAATTTTTATTTTAGTATAAATGAAGATTCTACCATATGGTGTTATTGGAAGAGATAAAGATGGAAACCCAATATTTGATCCGAAGTTAAAATTAAAGTTACTGACAACAACTTGAAAAGTTACTGAAACCAAAACAGAATGAAAAAGAGAAAAAATGAGAAAATGAGAAATGAAAAAAGAGAAAATGAGAAATGAAAAAAGAGAAAATGAGAAATGAAAAAAGAGAAAATGAGAAATGAAAAAAGAGAAAATGAGAAAAAAGAGAAAATGAGAACATGAGAAAAAAGAGAAAATGAGAAAGAAAAAAATTTAAATTATACAATTTTATTTTTATCATAAATGACAAAATTAATTAAGCCAACTATTTCTAAATTAATGATACCAATGAAATCATTTCATGGAGTACTTATCCCAGGTTCTTCACAATTAGCCGGGGCAAGTGTTGTGGCTCAAGGTGGAACATTAGCGAATCCATTCAAATTAACTAAAGATGAACTTAATAAAATGGATACCCCACAAGCTCAAAATTTACCACGAATCATAACAAGGGAGGAAATGATAAAAATGATGCAAGAACGAATTAAAAACAACAAACCACGAAAACCGAGAAGATACGGTTATGCAGTAATGATGGAAAGAAGAACCCAGAAGGGTTCGGCGTCTCGAAGAGACGTTGTCGAAGAGGAATAAAAATTAAATTTGGATTGAGTTTAAAAATTCATCTTTATTAAATTCATCTCTTCCAATCAATTTATTTATTCTATTAAATTCTTTTATTTTTGCTTCACTCAGTTTAAGGATTGAACGGTAAGTTTCTAATTTTTCGATTATTTCTTTCCTCTCTTTATCGTTTTCAATTACTTTAGTTTTATGGGCATCAGCCCCGCCGCATTGCAGCTTCTTTTTGTAATAGCATAGTTTCTGGACTATATGAAAGTTTATTAATGTGCGTGATTCCTTTAAGATTAACACGATGTTGAACATTTGATAAACCACCAGTAATTCCATTACGGAGAATGTGATAAGCTTCAACTGAATCTAAAGTCATTGGTAAATTATTTTTTAATGCATAATTTCTTAAATTGATTCTTAAACGTTGAACATCTTCATCTTTATTTGATTTTACGACATTGCAATAACAACACATTAACTGACAATTTCTTTGGTATGTGGTTTTTCATTATCGATTCTATCCAATGTTGGTTTATTTGCATATGTAAACGCTTTACCACACATTTTGCATTTAGATGAAAGGATTAAATCGTGATAGTATTGAAAATCATCCATTGAAACATTATTTTTAGTATCCCTTTCTGCTTTTTCATCTTGTTTCTTATATGATTCAATTTTATATTTCCAATACTTTTTCGTTAATTCAAAACTTGATTCTATCTCTTCCTCAGGATATTTTTCATTAGGATTAAAGTCTTTATATGCTAAAGCGTAACGAATCATTGATGCATTCGATGATAAAGAAAGATTATGAAGCATATCAATTTTATAAACAAATGTTTCTTCAATAATTTTATCGATTGGGTCAATCATAATTTCAACATCTTTATTGCAATAATGAATAAAATATTCTAATCTATTCTTAAAGTTTTTAGCATCATTGAGATATATTTGATAATCACTATCTGATATAGTTTCTTGAGTTAATGCTGAATAAAATGAATCTTTCGTGAATGGTTCCTCTTTATATAATTCTTCTTCGTAATTCTCCCATGTGATAAATTGATAAGGGAAAAAGGATTTAACACGTGATTTATTGTTTCCGAAATCTTGAGTGAATTGGTCTAATGTCCCACCCGCTATATAATTTCTGATGTCAATAAATCTCAATTCATATGGAACGTTTGTTTTCTTTACAATGATTTGCTTAAATTGTGAAGATGAACCCAGCATTGATTTTATTTTCCATTTTGCAGTGTTTAAATCACGAAGAATTAAATTTAAATCAAACTTTCCCGAATTAAAACCTATGATATTCACTTTATTGAATTCCTCATCTAGAAGTTCTTTAAATGCTTCCTTCTGTTTTTCATTTAATGTATGGGACAAAGTCCCGCCGTTTGCGGCTTCATTAATTCATTGTATTGACTCATATTTGATTCAACAACTAATGAACAGGTTGAAAATAAAAACTCAATCCAATCAGAAATAAAAGAATCACTCGAAGTTAAGCAAAAATTCCTCGTATATGTTTTATCATTTAATTTAACCGTTGATGATACCATGAATGGTTTTAAGTAAGCGTTCAAAGTTGCACACTTAGAAAGTTGTAATTCTTCTTTAGTCTCTAATGTTTCGAAGTCAAAAGTAATATAATATCTTGTCGGTTTATAATATTTCTGCAAATTGTGAGCTAATAACCACTGATATATCTTCTGTTTCGTAATATGTGGTGCATATGGTTGCTGGATCTTTTGCAATTGAACGTCTTGAATTAATCTTCCATTATTTTCTTTACATTTCTCACAATGCTTTAAAAATCTTCTTTGGTTTTTCCTTTCTGGATCATCACGGATAGAATAAACTTCTTCTTTACAATATGGACAAACTTTATAGCCGGTGAGTGCTTCAACGTCTGTTATTCTGTCAGCGTGAAGTTTTCCACATGGACTCTGTGTTAATAAAATATTTACTGTTTCAAATTCTGGATCTATCATTATTGATTCCACTAATGGAAAGTCTACCTTATTTATGTCCACGTCTTCTGGTTGAGGATCACAATAATAGAAATCAATATTAACATTTAACATTCTCGCTAATCTCTCACTTTCTGATGAAATGTCAAACCCTTCATATGCATCTATTGCTTCATTTAAATAGCTTCTACGAGTTTTAGGATTAACACCATCAGGAATGTTATAGAAGCGTTTAAATAACCTTCTACCTTCTGCTCTAATTTGATTATCATTCATTTTAGCTGTTCCGTTTTTGTTCATTTATGTAAGAATAAAAAATTAAAAAATAAATAAAAATAAAGTTTATTTTTTTAAAGCCCATAAAATGAATTAAGAACACATAAATTTTTATCATCTGCGACGTGACGAATACATTTTAATTTACTCAAGAATGCGTACCCTGATACATTAAATCTAATTCCTGTCTTATTTAATTTCACAACTTTGAAAAGGAATGTATGAATAGCTATAAAATGATGAGAAGATGTTTTATGGGTTGCTTCCATTTTTTCTGAAATAAATGAATAAATATAATGTTTATAAGTTTTCATATCTTTTATATTCTTAATAACGAATGGTATAGACCTTTCCACTTCATCTTCCTTCGGTGCTGTTCTTTCATATGAAACATTATTAGTATCTTCAACAATGAAACCGCAATCACATAAAATTTTATATGTTCCAATGGTTTCTTTTGATATTTTATCTAATAAATCAAAACTTTATCAACACCTGTGCATTTATTTAAATAATAATTTGTGTAAATATCATGATCTTCTTTCTTAATCGTATTAGTTGCATATGTCACGTTTTTAAGAGCTTTTTTGAATTTTTCGGAATCTAAAGGTGGTGAAAATAAGATACAAGGGTATTCTTCATTATCAATAAATTGTAACTTATGTTTACGTATAAATTTAGTACCTTCTTCTGAAAGTGTTTCATCTATTTCACCATCTAATAAATTTTGTGTTGATTCTGAGACATAATTTTTTATCTTTCTTCATGAGATTTCTGTACTTCTGATTCTGAAGCTGGGATATTCATTAAACCCTCTACTTCATTTTCATTATATTTTTCAACTTCTCTTAATTCCTTAATTTTTTCATCTATTTCATCTCTTATTTTTTTCAGTCTTTCAATTTCATTGTATTCATCATCTTTAATCCGTTCTTCATAATATTCAGGGAAAACATCAGGTTCTTTAGGCTTTTCTTCTTCAGATGTGGGATATAAGAAATTTATAACATCATCTTTATTCATTTTTCCATCATAATCTAAATCATTTAATAACTCGGCAAATTTTTGACAATTTCTTAAATAATATTTATTAACTTCATAACCCACCTCCTCTAATATATCCTTTATTTCCTCGTTTGTGAATCCTAATTTTTTAACGTTGTTAGTTTTGACGCTCATTTCATACAAAATAAAAAAATAAAATAATAAACATAACTAAGTTTTAATTTTTCGTAAGAAGTTTATTTTTTATTCATGAAAATAATTATTTCTAATTTCTTTTACTCTCTCGTATATACTAGATTTAAAGAATTCAGAACATTTCCCATAATCTCCTAAATGTTTTCTTATCCCTAACGTGTGCCAGTTATTATATGAAACTGAATAAACTTTATCTTTATCTTTACACCTTTCATCACTTCCAATATATTTATATCTCAGTTTTGATTTAGCATTTTCATATTCATTAGCGTTTGATAATTCACAGTCTTCCTTTTTAAATTGATGTTTAAGATATTCAGGATTTAATACTCTACGTTTATATGCTCCTAACTTAGTTCTAAAGGTTTTTCTACAAAATTTAGGAATTCCATCCTCTTTAATGTCATCAATGATTTCCATTTCATTATTTTCAATTTCTTCTTCTCGTTTATGAGGTCTTTGATTATGACTCCATTGATTCCATGAAATTAAATATTCTTTATCATTATATTTATACCTCATTAGCTTATTTTGGCTTTCATATTCATTTAATAATTCACAATCTTCATTTTTAAATTGAAGTTTAACCCATTCAGGATTTAAACAATGTTTAATTAATCGCGGAATATCTGACATCATCTATATATAGCTTCTTTTATAAAAGATAAAAAAATAAATTATTTTAAAATTAATGTTAATTTTTTAATGATTTATAAATAAATATATTTTAATGCATCGTCTATATATAGATGTAACAAAAAAAGTCACTAAACCCGTCATATCCTACTACTCTGGACTGCTTGTTGAATTAAATTTTTCAAATCAGCAAAATATATCAAATTCATCGATTTGTACAAGGATGTCGCTTTGTAAAAAAAATCTTGAATAATAAGGTAGTCACAAAATCTAAGTAAAAGGGCTTTGAAATATTGAGGGGATTTGTAATTTTGGCTCTCAAAATTTACCCTTCCTCACTACTCGAATTCCGAGCCTCTCAATGAGTTTCCTCTCAATTTTGAATGGTTTATATTGACTTTTGAATACCTTTATTGAGAACAAAAAAATAAATATATTAAGATTCGTATAATATTGGCATTTTTCATAAAATGAAGGCCTAAAAAACAGGGCCATTCAAAAAATGAATTGTTTTGGGGAGTAGTGGATCTAGCATCTGTGTAACAAATAATAAAGATTGGCCGTAAAAATTAGGCCTAATCTCTTTTTGGTAAAATTTTGGAAATTGATATCTCTTTATATTCGTCTGTCGTGAGGTACAGATAACAAGATGATGGAGTAAATGTTTTTGACATATTCACTTTTCACCATATTGGCCGAAATTAAGTATATTGTTGCTAATTTTTTGTTTTTTACCTTGTTTTTAGGGGCACTACTATTTATTCATCTTTGTATCATTTTTGTTGAGCTCGTATTGAAAAACAATCAATGAAATCCATGTTTTCATTTGAAATCTGATAAAGTTAAACGTGCATATAAGTTTCTCGCTGATATCACTCAATTGCAAATTCATATATATGCAATTCAAAAAAATGAGAAAAATTTCGGATTGTCCAAATTGAAGGATATAATTTTTTTTCTTTAGCCAATAAATCAATGTATTATATTGCATTCATTATCCAATGAGTAGTTACACATAATATTAGCATATAACACTCTTGCTGTTTACAAATACAAATTTTGATTTGATTATTTTGTTTAAAGCTATTCTATTTATAGTGATCTCTTATATAACATGTTGTATAAAATATCTATATTACTATTATTGTATTTCATGAATCTTTTTTCATTAATAAAATTTTATTGGAAAAATTTCAACTTTTCATTAATCTAAATTGACATCTGTGATACTTCCTATTCTGTTACAACTATTAAAGCTTACATTTAAATTCGAATTTAAAATTTCAAAATTTTTTAAATTGATCAATACAATGATTTTAATAATATATATTTGTTTGTGCTTTTAAATTTCTTAAGCTTTCAAAATTTAAGAGAATTGATAACTTAATACAATATGATCTTAATGATATACTAATTAATAATTCGCAAAATGTAAAAAAGTCTTCTCAAAACTAAATTCCATGCCTTTCAATCGAGATTTTGAGGCAACTTTACAAGTATCTTGATGAAAATTCTATTGCCATCGACATTTATATTGTTATTGCATCATTTTATATCTATTGATTTAATCAAAATTCTAATTTTATATCCGAAATCTTTGTGGTCATTGTTTTCCACATCTATAAAATAGATTTTTTTTCTAATTAATTTAAATAGTATTTTATATGGTAAAACGGGAATGTGTCCTTTTCAAAAATTATTAATGTCCAACCAAGACATTCATCCAAACAAATACAGTGAACTAAGAAATACCCACAAATACTACATCGATATATACAACGCGTTGTATCAGTTGAAAAGTGAAAAAGAAGAAGAATTAAAGTCGATTTTCAAAATTATCAAAACAGACTTGATTGAATCCAATAAACATCCACCCAAAGATATTATGGCAGACATTTTAAATATCATTCCGTATAACAATCGCTATACAAAGTCATATTTATTTCTTGCCAAACTGTTTATTGATGAATATCATGTTGAAGAAGTCAAGGGAATCTCTGATATTTCAAACATCCTGTTTTATAAAGAATATGGGTTTAAATTAAACAAATCTTTTGATTTCGAAAAAGATGATTTTGAAAATCTTGATATTCATAAAGAAAATACAATATACAGAGCAATTATGAATAATGACTTAGAAAGATTCATCACATTCACTGGAATTGATGGATTTGATAAAGATCAAAAACTTAAAAGCAATTTATATCCATATTCTTACAATGAATATTCATTACTTGAATTGTGTTGTTACCATGAAGCAGTTGATTGTTTCAAGTTATTAAGAACTAAATTCGACTCAGAAATAACTCAAACATGTCTAGAATTTTCATTTTTAGGCGGAAACAAAGAGATCATGAGTGAATGTTTGAAATATCAGGAACCAGATCAACTTTGCATGATACATGCAATTATTTCACACAACATTGATTTTGTTACATTCTTGATGAATGAATACGATTTAGAGATCGATTTAGAAATTTGCGGACTTCACAAAAATCTTGAATCCTTTTTAGTTTATTTCGATCAAACTAATGATATTAACAAATGTTTTGTTTATTCACCTATTTTTGATATTCCATCCCTTATCGAATACTTCATTTCATTTGGTGCGAATATCAATGAAAAAGATAAAGACGGAAAAACCACACTTCATATTGCAGCATGGAATAATAGTAAAGAAACAGCCGAACTTCTTATTTCACTTGGTGCGAATATTAATGAAAAAGATAAAAATGGAAGAACAGCACTTTATAGCGCAGCAGAATATAATAGTAAAGAAACAGCCGAACTTCTTATTTCACATGGTGCGAATATTAATGAAAAAGATAAAAATGGAGAAACCGCTCTTCATTTTGCAGCAATTTATAAGAATAAAGAAACAGCCGAACTTCTTATTTCACTTGGTGCGAATATCAATGAAAAAGATATAAATGGAAGAACAGCACTTTATAGCGCAGCAGAATATAATAGTAAAGAAACAGCCGAACTTCTTATTTCACATGGTGCGAATATTAATGAAAAAGATAAAAATGGAGAAACCGCTCTTCATTTTGCAGCAATTTATAAGAATAAAGAAACAGCCGAACTTCTTATTTCACTTGGTGCGAATATCAATGAAAAAGATATAAATGGAAGAACAGCACTTTATAGCGCAGCAGAATATAATAGTAAAGAAACAGCCGAACTTCTTATTTCACATGGTGCGAATATTAATGAAAAAGATAAAAATGGAGAAACCGCTCTTCATTTTGCAGCAATTTATAAGAATAAAGAAACAGCCGAACTTCTTATTTCACTTGGTGCGAATATCAATGAAAAAGATATAAATGGAAGAACAGCACTTTATAGCGCAGCAGAATATAATAGTAAAGAAACAGCCGAACTTCTTATTTCACTTGGTGCGAATATTAATGAAAAAGATAAAAATGGAAGAACAGCACTTTATAGCGCAGCAGAATATAATAGTAAAGAAACAGCCGAACTTCTTATTTCACATGGTGCGAATATTAATGAAAAAGATAAAAATGGAGAAACCGCTCTTCATTTTGCAGCAATTTATAAGAATAAAGAAACAGCCGAACTTCTTATTTCACTTGGTGCGAATATCAATGAAAAAGATATAAATGGAAGAACAGCACTTTATAGCGCAGCAGAATATAATAGTAAAGAAACAGCCGAACTTCTTATTTCACTTGGTGCGAATATTAATGAAAAAGATAAAAATGGAGAAACCGCTCTTCATTTTGCAGCAATTTATAAGAATAAAGAAACAGCCGAACTTCTTATTTCACTTGGTGCGAATATCAATGAAAAAGATATAAATGGAAGAACAGCACTTTATAGCGCAGCAGAATATAATAGTAAAGAAACAGCCGAACTTCTTATTTCACTTGGTGCGAATATTAATGAAAAAGATAAAAATGGAGAAACCGCTCTTCATTTTGCAGCAATTTATAAGAATAAAGAAACAGCCGAACTTCTTATTTCACTTGGTGCGAATATCAATGAAAAAGATATAAATGGAAGAACAGCACTTTATAGCGCAGCAGAATATAATAGTAAAGAAACAGCCGAACTTCTTATTTCACATGGTGCGAATATTAATGAAAAAGATAAAAATGGAGAACCGCTCTTCATTTTGCAGCAATTTATTAGTAAAGAAACAGCCGAACTTCTTATTTCACATGGTGCGAATATTAATGAAAAAGATAAAAATGGAGAAACCGCTCTTCATTTTGCAGCAATTTATAAGAATAAAGAAACAGCCGAACTTCTTATTTCACTTGGTGCGAATATCAATGAAAAAGATATAAATGGAAGAACAGCACTTTATAGCGCAGCAGAATATAATAGTAAAGAAACAGCCGAACTTCTTATTTCACATGGTGCGAATATTAATGAAAAAGATAAAAATGGAGAAACCGCTCTTCATTTTGCAGCAATTTATAAGAATAAAGAAACAGCCGAACTTCTTATTTCACTTGGTGCGAATATCAATGAAAAAGATATAAATGGAAGAACAGCACTTTATAGCGCAGCAGAATATAATAGTAAAGAAACAGCCGAACTTCTTATTTCACATGGTGCGAATATTAATGAAAAAGATAAAAATGGAGAAACCGCTCTTCATTTTGCAGCAATTTATAAGAATAAAGAAACAGCCGAACTTCTTATTTCACTTGGTGCGAATATCAATGAAAAAGATATAAATGGAAGAACAGCACTTTATAGCGCAGCAGAATATAATAGTAAAGAAACAGCCGAACTTCTTATTTCACATGGTGCGAATATTAATGAAAAAGATAAAAATGGAGAAACCGCTCTTCATTTTGCAGCAATTTATAAGAATAAAGAAACAGCCGAACTTCTTATTTCACTTGGTGCGAATATCAATGAAAAAGATATAAATGGAAGAACAGCACTTTATAGCGCAGCAGAATATAATAGTAAAGAAACAGCCGAACTTCTTATTTCACTTGGTGCGAATATTAATGAAAAAGATAAAAATGGAGAAACCGCTCTTCATTTTGCAGCAATTTATAAGAATAAAGAAACAGCCGAACTTCTTATTTCACTTGGTGCGAATATCAATGAAAAAGATATAAATGGAAGAACAGCACTTTATAGCGCAGCAGAATATAATAGTAAAGAAACAGCCGAACTTCTTATTTCACATGGTGCGAATATTAATGAAAAAGATAAAAATGGAGAAACCGCTCTTCATTTTGCAGCAATTTATAAGAATAAAGAAACAGCCGAACTTCTTATTTCACTTGGTGCGAATATCAATGAAAAAGATATAAATGGAAGAACAGCACTTTATAGCGCAGCAGAATATAATAGTAAAGAAACAGCCGAACTTCTTATTTCACATGGTGCGAATATTAATGAAAAAGATAAAAATGGAGAAACCGCTCTTCATTTTGCAGCAATTTATAAGAATAAAGAAACAGCCGAACTTCTTATTTCACTTGGTGCGAATATCAATGAAAAAGATATAAATGGAAGAACAGCACTTTATAGCGCAGCAGAATATAATAGTAAAGAAACAGCCGAACTTCTTATTTCACTTGGTGCGAATATTAATGAAAAAGATAAAAATGGAGAAACCGCTCTTCATTTTGCAGCAATTTATAAGAATAAAGAAACAGCCGAACTTCTTATTTCACTTGGTGCGAATATCAATGAAAAAGATATAAATGGAAGAACAGCACTTTATAGCGCAGCAGAATATAATAGTAAAGAAACAGCCGAACTTCTTATTTCACATGGTGCGAATATTAATGAAAAAGATAAAAATGGAGAAACCGCTCTTCATTTTGCAGCAATTTATAAGAATAAAGAAACAGCCGAACTTCTTATTTCACTTGGTGCGAATATCAATGAAAAAGATATAAATGGAAGAAACAGCACTTTATAGCGCAGCAGAATATAATAGTAAAGAAACAGCCGAACTTCTTATTTCACTTGGTGCGAATATCAATGAAAAAGATATAAATGGAAGAACAGCACTTTATAGCGCAGCAGAATATAATAGTAAAGAAACAGCCGAACTTCTTATTTCACATGGTGCGAATATTAATGAAAAAGATAAAAATGGAGAAACCGCTCTTCATTTTGCAGCAATTTATAAGAATAAAGAAACAGCCGAACTTCTTATTTCACTTGGTGCGAATATCAATGAAAAAGATATAAATGGAAGAACAGCACTTTATAGCGCAGCAGAATATAATAGTAAAGAAACAGCCGAACTTCTTATTTCACATGGTGCGAATATTAATGAAAAAGATAAAAATGGAGAAACCGCTCTTCATTTTGCAGCAATTTATAAGAATAAAGAAACAGCCGAACTTCTTATTTCACTTGGTGCGAATATCAATGAAAAAGATATAAATGGAAGAACAGCACTTTATAGCGCAGCAGAATATAATAGTAAAGAAACAGCCGAACTTCTTATTTCACATGGTGCGAATATTAATGAAAAAGATAAAAATGGAGAAACCGCTCTTCATTTTGCAGCAATTTATAAGAATAAAGAAACAGCCGAACTTCTTATTTCACTTGGTGCGAATATCAATGAAAAAGATATAAATGGAAGAACAGCACTTTATAGCGCAGCAGAATATAATAGTAAAGAAACAGCCGAACTTCTTATTTCACATGGTGCGAATATTAATGAAAAAGATAAAAATGGAGAAACCGCTCTTCATTTTGCAGCAATTTATAAGAATAAAGAAACAGCCGAACTTCTTATTTCACTTGGTGCGAATATCAATGAAAAAGATATAAATGGAAGAACAGCACTTTATAGCGCAGCAGAATATAATAGTAAAGAAACAGCCGAACTTCTTATTTCACTTGGTGCGAATATCAATGAAAAAGATATAAATGGAAGAACAGCACTTTATAGCGCAGCAGAATATAATAGTAAAGAAACAGCCGAACTTCTTATTTCACATGGTGCGAATATTAATGAAAAAGATAAAAATGGAGAAACCGCTCTTCATTTTGCAGCAATTTATAAGAATAAAGAAACAGCCGAACTTCTTATTTCACTTGGTGCGAATATCAATGAAAAAGATATAAATGGAAGAACAGCACTTTATAGCGCAGCAGAATATAATAGTAAAGAAACAGCCGAACTTCTTATTTCACATGGTGCGAATATTAATGAAAAAGATAAAAATGGAGAAACCGCTCTTCATTTTGCAGCAATTTATAAGAATAAAGAAACAGCCGAACTTCTTATTTCACTTGGTGCGAATATCAATGAAAAAGATATAAATGGAAGAACAGCACTTTATAGCGCAGCAGAATATAATAGTAAAGAAACAGCCGAACTTCTTATTTCACATGGTGCGAATATTAATGAAAAAGATAAAAATGGAGAAACCGCTCTTCATTTTGCAGCAATTTATAAGAATAAAGAAACAGCCGAACTTCTTATTTCACTTGGTGCGAATATCAATGAAAAAGATATAAATGGAAGAACAGCACTTTATAGCGCAGCAGAATATAATAGTAAAGAAACAGCCGAACTTCTTATTTCACATGGTGCGAATATTAATGAAAAAGATAAAAATGGAGAAACCGCTCTTCATTTTGCAGCAATTTATAAGAATAAAGAAACAGCCGAACTTCTTATTTCACTTGGTGCGAATATCAATGAAAAAGATATAAATGG